TGGGGTGCCATAGGGTGCTATGCGGGGATATGGGGGGATATGGGGTGCTATGGGGTTCTATGGGGGGCTATGGGGTGCTGTGGGTGCTATGGGGGATATGGGGGGATATGGGGGGATACGGAGGGATATGGGGGGATATGGGGCGCTATGGCTGCTATAGGGTGCCATAGGGTGCTATGGGTGCTATGGGGGATATGGGGGATATGGGGGATATGGGGGATATGGGGGGATATGGGGGGCTATGGGGCGCTATAGGGTGCTGTGGGTGCTGTGGGTGCTATGGGGTGCTGTGGGGTGCTATGGGGGGATATGGGGGAATATGGGTGCTATCGGTGCTGTGGGGCGCTATGGGGGGCTATGGGGTGCTGTAGGGTGCTATAGGGTGCTATAGGCTGCTATGGGGTGCTATGGGGTGCTATGGGGTGCTGTGGGCGCTATGGGTGCTGTGGGCGCTATGGGGTGCTATGGGGTGCTATAGGGTGATATGGGGTGATATGGGGTGCTGTGGGGGGATATGGGGTGCTATGGGGTGCTATCAGTTGATATGGGGTGCTATGGGTGCTATGGGGGGATATGGGGCGATATGGGGTGCTATGGGGGCTATGGGGGGATATGGGGGATATGGGGGGATATGGGGTGCTATGGGGTGCTATGGGGTGCTATGGGGTGCTATGGGGGGATATGGGGCGCTATGGGGGCATATGAGGTGATATGAGGTGCTATTGGGTGCTATGGGGCGCTATGGGTGCTATGGGGGTATATGGGGGGATATGGAGGGATATGGGGCGCTATGGGGTGCTATGAGGCGCTATGGGGCGCTATCGGGGGACATGGGGTGCTGTAGAATTCTATGGGGCACTATGGGGGATATGGGGTGCTATGGGGTGCTATGGGGTGCTGTGGGGGGATAAGGGGGCATATGGGGGATATGGGGGGATATGGGGTCCTATGGGGCCCTATGGGGTTCTATGGGCTCTTATGGGATCCTTATGGGGTCAGGGGGCTTTGGGGTCGCTATGGGGTTCTATGGGGCCGTTATGGGGTCTTATGGGGTTTCTATGGGGTCCTATGGGATCCTATGAGGTCCTATGGGGTCCTATGGGGTCCTATGGGGTTCTATGGGGTTCTATGGGGTTCTATGGGGTCCTCTGGGGTCCTCTGGGGTCCTCTGGGGTCCTATGGGGTCCTATGGGGTCCTATGGGGTCCTATGGGGTTCTATGGGGTTCTATGGGATCCTATGGGGTCCTATGGGGTCTTATGGGGTCTTATGGGGTTCTATGGGATCCTACGGGGTTCTATGGGGTCCTATGGGATCCTATGGGGTTCTATAGGATCCTATGGGATCCTATGGGGTTCTATGGGATCCTATGGGGTTCTATGGGGTCCTATTGGGTTATATGGGATCCTATTGGGTACTATGGGGTCCTATGGGGTCCTACGGGTTCTTATGGGGTCTTATGGGGTCCTATGGGGTCCTATGGGGTCCTATGGGGTCTTATGGGGTCTTATGGGGTCCTATGGGGTCCTATGGGGTCTTATGGGGTCCTATGGGGTCCTATGGGGTTCTATGGGGTTCTATGGGGTTTCTATGGGGTCCTATGGGATCCTATGGGGTTCTATGGGGTTCTATGGTGACGTATGGGGTCTTATGGGGTTCTATTGGGTTTGATGGGATCCTATTGGGTTCTATGGGGTCCTATGGGGTCCTATTGGGTTCTATAGGCTCTTTATGGGGTCATATGGGATCCTATGGGGTCCTATGGGGTCCTATGGGATCCTATGGGATCCTATGGGGTCCTATGGGGTCCTATGGGGTTCTATGGGGTTTCTATGGGGTCCTATGGGGTCCTATGGGGTCCTATGGGGTTCTATGGGGTTCTATGGGGTCCTATGGGGTCCTATGGGGTCCTATGGGATCCTATGGGGTCCTCTGGGGTCCTATGGGGTTCTATGGGGTCCTATGGGGTCCTATGGGTTCCTATGGGTTCCTATGGGGTCCTATGGGGTCCTATCGGGTCCTATGGGGTTCTATGGAATCCTATGGGGTCCTATGGGGTCCTATGGGATCCTATGAGGTTCTATGGGATCCTATGGGGTCCTTATGGGATCCCAGATGGTGATTATGGGGTTGGGTGGGATTTGGGATCCTTATGGGGTTTCTATGGGGTCCTATGGGGTCTTAAGGGATCCTTATGGGGTCAGGGGGCTTTGGGGGGTTATGGGGGATATGGGGGATATGGGGGATATGGGTGCCATGGGGGGCTATGGAGCGCTATGGGGGGATATGGGGGGATATGGGGCACTATGGGGTGCTGTGGGTGCTATGGGGTTTCTATGGGGTCCTATTGGGTTATATGGGGTCCTATGGGGTCCTATGGGGTCCTATGGGGTCCTATGGGATCCTATGGGGTTCTATGGGGTTCTATGGTGATGTATGGGGTCTTATGGGGTTCTATTGGGTTTGATGGGATCCTATGGGGTCCTATGGGGTCCTATGGGGTCCTATGGGGTTCTATGGGGTTTCTATGGGGTCCTATGGGATCCTATGGGGTCCTATGGGGTCCTATGGGGTTCTATGGGGTCCTATGGGGTTCTATAGGGTCGTATGGGGTTCTATGGGGCTCTATGGGTTCTATGGGGTCCTATGGGGTCCTATGGGGTTCTATGGGATCCTACGGGGTTCTATGGGGTTCTATGGGGTTCTATGGGGTCCTATGGGGTTCTATGGGGTCCTATGGGATCCTATGGGGTCCTATGGGATCCTATGAGTTCCTATGGGATCCTATTGGGTTCTATGGGGTCCTATGGGGTCCTATGGCATCCTATGGGCTTCTATGGGGTCCTACGGGGTTTCCATGGGGTCCTATGGCGTCCTATGGGGTTCTATGGGGTCCTATGGGATCCTATGGGGTCCTATGGGGTTCTATGGGGTCCTATGGGGTCCTTATGGGGTTTTATGGGGTCTTATGCGATCCCAGATGGTGCTTATGGGGTTGGGTGGGATTTGGGATCCTTATGGGGTTTCTATGGGGTCCTATGGGGTCCTATGGGGTCCTATGGGGTCTTAAGGGATCCTTATGGGGTCAGGGGGCTTTGGGGGGTTATGGGGGATATGGGGGATATGGGGGGCTGTGGGGGGATATGGGGTGCTATGGGTGCTATAGGGTGCTATGGGTGGATATGGGGTTCTATGGGGCACTATGGGGGGATATGGGGGGATATGGGGGGATAAGGGGTGCTGTGGGGTGCTATCAGTTGATATGGGGTGCTATGGATGCTATGGGGTGATATGAGGTGCTATGGGGTTATATGGGGGGATATGGGGGGATATGGGGTGCTATGGGGGGCTATGGGGGGATATGGGGGGATATGGGGTGCTATAGGGTGCTGTGGGTGCTGTGGGCGCTATGGGGGGATATAGGTGCTATGGGTGCTATGGGTGCTATGGGTGCCATAGGGTGCTATGGGGGATATGGGGGGATATGGGGGGATATGGGGGGATACGGAGGGATATGGGGCGCTATGGGTGCTATAGGGTGCCATAGGGTGCTATGGGTGCTATGGGGGATATGGGGGATATGGGGGGATATGGGGGGCTATGGGGCGCTATAGGGTGCTGTGGGTGCTGTGGGTGCTATGGGGTGCTGTGGGGCGCTATGGGGGGCTATGGGTTGCTGTAGGGTGCTATAGGGTGCTATAGGGTGCTATGGGGTGCTATGGGGTGCTGTGGGCGCTATGGGTGCTATGGGGGATATGGGGTGCTGTGGGGTGCTATGGGGCACTATGGGTGCTGTGGGGGGATATGGGGTGCTATCAGTTGATATGGGGTGATATGGGGTGCTGTGGGGGGATATGGGGGGATATGGGGTGCTATGGGGGGATATGGGGTGCTGTGGGTGCTGGGGGGGATATGGGGGGATATGGGGTGCTATGGGGTGCTATGGGGTGATAAGGGGTGCTATGGGGCGCTATGGGTGCTATGGGGGGCTATGGGGGGATATGGGGGGATATGAGGGGATATGGGTTGATATGGGGGGATATGGGGGGATATGGGGTGCTATAGGGTGCTATGGGGTGATATGAGGTGCTATGGGGGGATATGGGGTGCTATGGGTGCTATAGGGTGCTATGGGGGGATATGGGGCGCTATAGGGGCATATGGGGGGATATGGGGCGCTATGGGGTGCTATGGGGTGCTGTGGGTGCTATGGGGTGCTGTGGGTGCTATGGGGGGATATGGGGCTCTATGGGGTGCTATGGGGTGCTATGGGGGGATAAGGGGGCATATGGGGGATATGGGGGGATATGGGGGATATGGAGGGATATGGGGGGCTATAGGGTGCTGTAGGTGCTATGGGTGGTATGGGGGGATATGGGGGGATATGGGGTCCTATGGGGCCCTATGGGGTTCTATGGGGTCCTATGGGATCCTTATGGGGTCAGGGGGCTTTGGGGTCCCTATGGGGTCCTATGAGGTTTCTATGGGGTCCTATGGGGTCCTTATGGGGTTTTATGGGGTCCTATTGGGTTTGATGGCATCCTATGGGGTTCTATGGGGTTCTATGGGGTCTTATGGAATCCTTATGGGGTCAGTGGGCTTTGGGGTCGCTATGGGGTCCTATGGGGCCGTTATGGGGTCTTATGGGGTTTCTATGGGGTCCTATGGGGCTTTATGGGGTCCTTATGGGGTTTCTATGGGGTCCTATGGGGTTTCTATGGGGTCCTATGGGGTCCTATGGGGTCCTATGGGATCCTATGGGGTTCTATGGGGTCCTATGGGATCCTATGGGGTTCTATGGGGTTTCTATGGGGTCTTATTGGGTTTGATGGGATCCTATGGGCTTCTATGGGGTCCTATGGGCTCTTATGGGATCCTTATGGGGTCAGGGGGCTTTGGGGTCGCTATGGGGTCGCTTTGGGGTCGCTTTGGGGTCGCTATGGGGCGACTATGGGGTCTTTATGGGGTTTCTATGGGGTTTTTCTGTGGGGTGGCGCCTACCTGCAGGACGGCTTTGATGGCGGTAATGGCGGCTCCCAGCAGGGATTGCAAGCGGCGCGCGTCATTGACGTCATCAGCGCGCCGGATGCACAGGAAGAGGATGTAGGCGGGGAGGCAGGGCAGCGCGGCGGCCATCTTGGTAGGGTCAAGCTCTAGGAAGGTCCGAGAGGGAGCGGCGTTGAGGGGCGGTCATTAAGGATGGGGGGGGTTAATTAGGGTCGTGGGGGGGTAATTAGGATGAGGGCGGTACGGAGGAGGGGTGAAAGGGGGCGGGAGGGATTGGAGGGGTCAAAAACCCCAAAAGGGACCAAAAGACCCCAAAAACCCCATAGAACCCCACAGGACCCCCTAAGACCCCATAAGACCCCATAGGATGCCATAAAGCTTATAGGACCCCATAAGAGCCCATAAGACCCCACAGAACCCCATAGGACCCCATAGAAACCCATAGGACCCCATAAGACCCCATAGGACCCCATAGGACCCCATAGGACCCCATAAGACCCCATAAGACCCCATAAGACCCCACTGGACCCCATAAGACCCCATAGGACCCCATAGGATCCCATAAGATCCCATAGGACCCCATAAGACCCCATAAGACCCCATAGGACCCCATAAGACCCCATAGGACCCCATAGGAACCCACAGCACCCCAGAAACCCTATAAGACCCCATACGAACCCCAGAAACCCTATAAAACCCATCAGACCCCATAAGATCCCATAGGCCCCCATCAGACCCGATAAGACCCCATAAGACCCCATAGGATCCCATAGGACCCCACAGGACCCCACTGGACCCCATAAGACCCCACAGGACCCTATAAGTCCCCCATAGGACCCCATAAGACCCCATAGGACCCCATAAGTCCCCCATAGACCCCATAAGTCCCCCATAGGACCCCATAAGACCCCATAGGACCCCATAAGACCCCCATAGGACCCCATAAGACCCCATAGGACCCCATAAGACCCCATAGGACCCCATAACTCCCCCATAGGCCCCATAAGACCCCATAGGCCCCATAAGTCCCCCATAGGCCCCATAAGACCCCATAGGCCCCATAAGTCCCCCATAGGCCCCATAAGACCCCATAGGCCCCATAAGTCCCCCATAGACCCCCATAAGTCCCCCATAGGCCCCATAAGTCCCCCATAGGACCCCATAGGACCCCATAGGACCCCATAAGACCCCATAAGACCCCATAAGACCCCATAGGAACCCATAAGTCCCCCATAGACCCCATAAGGCCCCCATAGGCCCCATAAGGCCCCCATAGGACCCCATAAGTCCCCCATAGGACCCCATAAGACCCCATAGGACCCCATAGGACCCTATAGGGCCCCATAAGACCCCACAGGACCCCATAAGACCCCATAGGACCCCATAGGACCCCATAAGACCCCATCGGACCCCATAAGTCCCCCATAGGCCCCATGAGTTCCCCATAGGCCCCATAAGTCCCCCATAGGACCCCATAAGACCCCATAGGACCCCATAAGTCCCCATAGGACCCCATAAGACCCCATAGGACCCCATAAGTCCCCATAGGACCCCATAAGACCCCATAGGACCCCATAAGTCCCCCATAGGCCCCATAAGTCCTCCATAGGACCCCATAAGACCCCATAGGACCCCATAAGGCCCTCATAGGACCCCATAAGTCCTCATAAGACCCCATAGGATCCCATAGGACCCCATAGGAGCCCATAAAACCCCATAAGACCCCATAGGACCCCACAGGACCCCATAAGTCCCCATAGGACCCCATAAGACCCCATAGGACCCCCATAAGACCCCCATAGGACCCCATAAGACCCCATAGGACCCCATAAGACACCATAGATCCCATAAGACCCCATAGGACCCCATAAGACCCCATAGGCCCCATAAGTCCCCCATAGGCCCCATAAGTCCCCCATAGGACCCCATAGGACCCCATAAGATCCCACAGGACCCCATAGGACCCCATAGGACCCCATAGGACCCCATAAGACCCCATAGGACCCCATAAGACCCCATAGGCCCCATAAGACCCCCATAGGGCCCCATAAGTCCCCGATAGGACCCCATAAGACCCCATAGGACCCCATAGGACCCCATAAGTCCCCCATAGGACCCCATAGGACCCCATAAGACCCCCATAGGACCCCATAAGTCCCCATAGGACCCCATAAGACCCCCATAGGACCCCATAAGTCCCCCATAGGACCCCATAAGACCCCATAGGCCCCATAAGTCCCCCATAGGGCCCATAAGTCCCCCATAGGCCCCATAAGTCCCCCATAGGGCCCATAAGTCCCCCATAGGACCCCATAAGTCCCCATAGGACCCCATAAGACCCCATAGGACCCCATAAGACCCCATAGGACCCCATAAGACCCCCATAGGACCCCATAAGACCCCATAGGCCCCATAAGTCCCCCATAGGCCCCATAGGCCCCCATAGGACCTCATAAGACCCCATAGGCCCCATAAGTCCCCCATAGGACCCCATAAGTCCCCCATAGACCCCATAAGTCCCCCATAGGCCCCATAAGACCCCATAGGACCCCATAAGACCCCATAGGACCCCATAAGACCCCATAGGACCCCACAGGACCCCATAGCACCCCATAAGACCCCATAGGACCCCATAGGACCCCATAAGACCCCATAGGACCCCATAGGACCCCATAAGACCCCATAGGACCCCATAAGACCCCATAAGACCCCATAGGACCCCATAGGACCCCATAAGACCCCATAGGACCCCATAGGACCCCATAGGACCCCATAGGACCCCATAGGACCCCATAAGACCCCATAGGACCCCATAGGACCCCATAGGACCCCATAAGACCCCATAGGACCCCATAGGACCCCATAGGACCCCATAGGACCCCATAAGTCCCCATAGGACCCCATAAGACCCCATAAGACCCCATAGGACCCCATAAGACCCCATAGGCCCCATAAGTCCCCCATAGGACCCCATAAGACCCCATAGGACCCCATAAGACCCCCATAGGCCCCATAAGACCCCATAAGACCCCATAAGACCCCACAGGACCCCATAGGACCCCATAGGAACCCACAGCACCCCAGAAACCCTATAAAACCCATAAGACCCATAGGACCCTATAAGACCCCACAAGACCCCATAAAACCCCATAAGACCACACAGGACCCCATAGGACCCCATAGGACCCCACAGGACCCCATAAGATCCCATAAGACCCCATAGGACCCCAGAAACCCTATAAAACCCATCAGACCCCATAAAACCCCATAAGAGCCCATAGGACCCTATAAGACCCCATAAGATCCCATAAGACCCAATAGGACCCCACAGGACCCCATAAGGCTCCCATAGGCCCCACAAGGCTCAGCCCCATAAGGACCCCATAGGCCCCACAAGGCCCAGCACCATAAGTCCCCCATAGGACCCCATAAGACCCCATAGGACCCCACAGACCCCCATAGGCCCCATATGGACCCCATAGACCCCCATAATGCCCCCATAGGCCCCACAAGGCCCAGCCCCATAAGGCTCCCATAGGCCCCATAGGGCTCCCATAGGCCCCATAAGTCCCCCATAGGCCCCACAAGGCCCAGCCCCACAGGCCCCATAGGCCCCATAAGTCTCCCATAGGCCCCATAAGTCCCCCATAGGCCCCACAAGGCCCAGCCCCATAGGGAGCCCATAGGGCCCATGACGCCCAGCCCCATAAGGACCCCATAGGCCCCATAGGCCCCACAAGGCCCAGCCCCATAAGTCCCCCATAGGGCCCACAAGGCCCCCATAAGCCCCATAGGCCCCATAAGGCTCCCATAGGCCCCATAAGTCCCCCATAGGACCCCATAAGACCCCATAGGACCCCATAAGACCCCATAGACCCCCATAATGCCCCCATAGGCCCCACAAGGCCCAGCCCCATAAGGCTCCCATAGGACCCCATAAGCCCCATACGACCCCATACGACCCCATAGGACCCCATAGGACCCCATAAGACCCCATAAGACCCCACAGGACCCCATAGGACCCCATAGGACCCCATAAAACACCATAAGACACCACAGGACCCCATAAGACCCCATAAGACCCCCCAAGAACCCATAGGACCCCACAAACCCCATAACGCCCCATAAAGTCCCCACACAACCCCATAAGACCCCATAAGAGCCGACAGCACCCCATAAACCCACAGGACCCCATAAATCCTAGAGGACCCCATAAGACCCCATAAAACCCCATAAGACCCCATAGGATCCCATAAGACAAAACAGGACCCCAAAGAACCCACAGGACCCCATAAATCCTATAGGACCCCATAAGACCCCATAAGACCCCATAGGACCCCATAGAACCCCATAGAACCCCATAGGACCCCACAGACCCCATAGAACCCCATAGGGCCCCATAGAATCCCATAGGACCCCATAAGTCCCCCATAGGCCCCATAAGTCCCCCATAGGACCCCATAAGACCCCATAGGACCCCATAATGCCCCCATAGGCCCCACAAGGCCCAGCCCCATAAGGCTCCCATAGGTCCCATAAGTCCCCCATAGGCCCCATAAGTCCCCCATAGGACCCCATAAGACCCCATAGGACCCCATAAGTCCCCCATAGGCCCCATAAGACCCCATAGGACCCCATAAGACCCCATAGGACCCCATAAGTCCCCCATAGGCCCCATAGGGCCCCCATAGGCCCCATAAGTCCCCCATAGGACCCCATAAGACCCCATAGGACCCCATAAGACCCCATAAGACCCCATAGGCCCCATAAGTCCCCCATAGGCCCCATAAGACCCCATAGGACCCCATAAGACCCCATAGGACCCCATAAGACCCCATAGGACCCCATAAGTCCCCATAGGCCCCATAAGTCCCCCATAGGACCCCATAGGACCCCATAAGACCCCCATAGGACCCCATAAGACCCCATAAGACCCCATAGGCCCCATAAGTCCCCCATAGGCCCCATAAGACCCCATAGGACCCCATAAGTCCCCCATAGGACCCCATAAGACCCCCATAGGACCCCATAAGACCCCATAGGACCCCATAAGACCCCATAGGACCCCATAAGTCCCCATAGGCCCCATAAGTCCCCCATAGGACCCCATAGGACCCCATAAGACCCCCATAGGACCCCATAAGTCCCCATAGGACCCCATAGGACCCCATAGGACCCCATAAGTCCCCCATAGGCCCCATAAGTCCCCATAGGACCCCATAAGACCCCATAGGACCCCATAAGTCCCCCATAGGCCCCATAAGTCCCCCATAGGCCCCATAAGTCCCCCATAGGACCCCATAAGACCCCATAAGACCCCATAAGTCCCCCATAGACCCCATAAGTCCCCATAGGCCCCATAAGACCCCATAGGACCCCATAAGACCCCATAGGACCCCATAAGTCCCCCATAGGCCCCATAAGTCCCCCATAGGACCCCATAAGTCCCCCATAGGACCCCATAAGACCCCATAGGACCCCATAAGACCCCCACAGGACCCTATAAGACCCCATAGGACCCCATAAGTCCCCCATAGGACCCCATAAGACCCCATAGGACCCCATAAGTCCCCCATAGGACCCCATAAGACCCCATAAGACCCCACAGGACCCCAAAGGACCCCATAAGAGCCCATAGGAACCCACCGCACCCCAGAAACCCTGTAAGACCCCATAGGAACCCCAGAAACCCTATAAAACTCATCAGACCCCATAAGACCTCATAGGACCCCATAGGAGCCCATAAAACCCCACAGGACCCCATAAGACCCCATAAGACCCCCCAAGAACCCATAGGACCCCACAAACCCCATAACGCCCCATAAAGTCCCCACACAACCCCATAAGACCCCATAAGAGCCGACAGCACCCCATAAACCCACAGGACCCCATAAATCCTAGAGGACCCCATAAGACCCCATAAAACCCCATAAGACCCCATAGGATCCCATAAGACAAAACAGGACCCCAAAGAACCCACAGGACCCCATAAATCCTATAGGACCCCATAAGACCCCATAAGACCCCATAGGACCCCATAGAACCCCATAGGGCCCCATAGAACCCCATAGGACCCCATAAGACCCCATAGGACCCCATAAGTCCCCCATAGGACCCCATAAGTCCCCCATAGGCCCCATAAGTCCCCCATAGGAACCCATAAGACCCCATAGGACCCCATAAGTCCCCCATAGGCCCCATAAGTCCCCCATAGGACCCCATAAGACCCCATAGGACCCCATAAGTCCCCCATAGGACCCCATAAGTCCCCATAGGACCCCATAAGACCCCCATAGGACCCCATAAGACCCCATAGGACCCCATAAGACCCCATAGGATCCCATAGGACCCCATAAGACCCCATAGGGACCCCATAGGACCCCATAGGGACCCCATAGGAACCCATAGGCGCCAGACCTGTGATGAGGTTGCGGATGAGCAGCGGTTCGTCGGCGGGGTCGTAGTCCAGCATCCCTCTGTAGGGCTGGCGGCCTGCAAGGGGGGCATGGGGTCACTTATGGGGTCACTTATGGGGTTATGGGGTCGGTTATGGGGTTATGGGGTCACTTATGGGGTCACTTATGGGGTTATGGGGTCGGTTATGGGGTTATGGGGTCACTTATGGGGTCACTTATGGGGTTATGGGGTCGGTTATGGGGTTATGGGGTCACTTATGGGGTCACTTATGGGGTTATGGGGTCGGTTATGGGGTTATGGGGTCACTTATGGGGTCACTTATGGGGTTATGGGGTCGGTTATGGGGTTATGGGGTTATGGGGTCAGGTATGGGGTTATGGGGTCGGTTATGGGGTTATGGGGTCACTTATGGGGTCACTTATGGGGTTATGGGGTCAGGTATGGGGTTATGGGGTCGGTTATGGGGTTATGGGGTCACTTATGGGGTCACTTATGGGGTTATGGGGTCAGGTATGGGGTTATGGGGTCGGTTATGGGGTTATGGGGTCACTTATGGGGTCAGGTATGGGGTTATGGGGTCACTTATGGGGTCACTTATGCGGTCATGGGGTCAGGTGTGGGGTTATGGGGTCGGTTATGGGGTTATGGGGTCACTTATGGGGTCACTTATGGGGTTATGGGGTCGGTTATGGGGTTATGGGGTCGGTTATGGGGTCAGGTATGGGGTTATGGGGTCAGGTATGGGGTCATGGGGTCAGCTATGGGGTTATGGGGTCACTTATGGGGTCACTTATGGGGTTATGGGGTCAGGTATGGGGTTATGGGGTCACTTATGGGGTTATGGGGTCAGGTATGGGGTTATGGGGTCACTTATGGGGTCAGGTATGGGGTTATGGGGTCACTTATGAGGTCACTTATGGGGTCATGGGGTCAGGTATGGGGTTATGGGGTCACTTTTGGGGTCAGGTATGGGGTTATGGGGTCACTTATGGGGTCACTTATGGGGTCATGGGGTCAGGTATGGGGTTATCGGGTCACTTATGGGGTCACTTATGGGGTTATGGGGTCACTTATGGGGTTATGGGGTCACTTATGGGGTCAGGTATGGGGTTATGGAGTTATGGGGTCGGTTATGGGGTTATGGGGTCGGTTATGGGGTTATGGGGTCGGTTATGGGGTTATGGGGTCACTTATGGGGTCGGTTATGGGGTTATGGGGTCACTTATGGGGTTATGGGGTCAGGTATGGGGTTATGGGGTCACTTATGCGGTCACTTATGGGGTCATGGGGTCACTTATGGGGTCACTTATGGGGTCAATTATGGGGTTATGGGGTCACTTATGGGGTTATGGGGTCACTTATGGGGTTATGGGGTTATGGGGTCGGTTATGGGGTTATGGGGTCAGGTATGGGGTTATGGGGTTATGGGGTCGGTTATGGGGTCACTTATGGGGTCAGGTATGGGGTTATGGGGTCAGGTATGGGGTTATGGGGTCACTTATGAGGTCACTTATGGGGTCATGGGGTCAGGTATGGGGTTATGGGGTCACTTATGGGGTTATGGGGTCAGGTATGGGGTTATGGGGTCAGGTATGGGGTTATGGGGTCGGTTATGGGGTTATGGGGTCGGTTATGGGGTTATGGGGTCAGGTATGGGGTTATGGGGTCAGGTATGGGGTTATGGGGTCAGGTATGGGGTTATGGGGTCGGTTATGGGGTTATGGGGTCGGGTATGGGGTTATGGGGTCGGTTATGGGGTTATGGGGTCAGGTATGGGGTTATGGGGTCGGTTATGGGGTTATGGGGTCGGGTATGGGGTTATGGGGTCGGTTATGGGGTTATGGGGTCAGGTATGGGGTTATGGGGTCGGTTATGGGGTTATGGGGTCGGTTATGGGGTTATGGGGTCGGTTATGGGGTTATGGGGTCAGGTATGGGGTTATGGGGTCGGTTATGGGGTTATGGGGTCAGATATGGGGTTATGGGGTCACTTATGGGGTCACATATGGGGTTATGGGGTCAGTTATGGGGTCACTTATGGGGTTATGGGGTTATGGGGTCACTTATGGGGTCACTTATGGGGTTATGGGGTCAGTTATGGGGTTATGGGGTCACTTATGAGGTCACTTATGAGGTTATGGGGTCACTTATGGGGTCACTTATGGGGTCACTTATGGGGTTATGGGGTCACTTATGGGGTTATGGGGTCACTTATGGGGTTATGGGGTCAGGTATGGGGTTATGGGGTCAGCTATGGGGTTATGGGGTCACTTATGGGGTTATGGGGTCAGGTATGGGGTTATGGGGTCACTTATGGGGTTATGGGGTCGGTTATGGGGTTATGAGGTCACGTGTGGGGTTATGGGGTCACTTATGGGGTTATGGGGTTATGGGGTTGGTTATGGGGTTATGCGGTCAGTTATGGGGTTATGGGGTCACTTATGAGGTCAGTTATGGGGTCATGGGGTCGGTTATGGGGTTATGGAGTCACTTATGCGGTCACTTATGGGGTCATGGGGTCACTTATGGGGTCACTTATGGGGTCATGGGGTCGGTTATGGGGTCAGGTATGGGGTTATGGGGTCACTTATGGGGTTATGGGGTCGGTTATGGGGTTATGGGGTCAGGTATGGGGTTATGGGGTCAGGTATGGGGTTATGGGGTCAGGTATGGGGTTATGGGGTCGGTTATGGGGTTATGGGGTCGGTTATGGGGTTATGGGATCAGGTATGGGGTTATGGGGTCGGTTATGGGGTTATGGGGTCGGTTATGGGGTTATGGGGTCAGGTATGGGGTTATGGGGTCGGTTATGGGGTTATGGGGTCGGTTATGGGGTTATGGGGTCGGTTATGGGGTTATGGGGTCAGGTATGGGGTTATGGGGTCAGTTATGGGGTTATGGGGTCAGGTATGGGGTTATGGGGTCACTTATGGGGTCATGGGGTCAGCTTTGGGGTCATGGGATCGGTTATGGGGTTATGGGGTCGGTTATGGGGTTATGGGGTCAGGTATGGGGTTATGGGGTCACTTATGGGGTTATGGGGTCAGGTATGGGGTTATGGGGTCGGTTATGGGGTTATGGGGTCAGGTATGGGGTTATGGGGTCGGTTATGGGGTTATGGGGTCAGGTATGGGGTTATGGAGTCACTTATGGGGTCACTTATGGGGTTATGGGGTTATGGGGTCAGTTATGGGGTTATGGGGTCACTTATGGGGTCACTTATGGGGTTATGGGGTTATGGGGTCACTTATGGGGTTATGGGGTCACTTATGGGGTCACTTATGGGGTTATGGGGTTATGGGGTCAGTTATGGGGTTATGGGGTCACTTATGGGGTCACTTATGGGGTTATGGGGTTATGGGGTCACTTATGGGGTTATGGGGTCACTTATGGGGTCACTTATGGGGTTATGGGGTTATGGGGTCAGGTATGGGGTTATGGGGTCACTTATGGGGTCACTTATGGGGTTATGGGGTTATGGGGTCAGTTATGGGGTTATGGGGTCACTTATGGGGTCACTTATGGGGTTATGGGGTTATGGGGTCACTTATGGGGTTATGGGGTCACTTATGGGGTCACTTATGGGGTTATGGGGTTATGGGGTCAGGTATGGGGTTATGGGGTCGGTTATGGGGTTATGGGGTCGGTTATGGGGTTATGGGGTCACTTATGGGGTCACTTATGGGGTCACTTATGGGGTTATGGAGTCACTTATGGGGTCACTAATGGGATTATGGGGTCAGTTATGGGGTTATGGGGTCACTTATGGGGTCACTTATGGGGTCATGGGGTCACGTGTGGGGTCACGGGGTCACTTATGGGGTTGTTAAGGGGTCATGGGGTCACTTATGGGGTCACTTATGGGGTCATGGGGTCAATTATGGGGTTATGGGGTCACTTATGGGGTCATGGGGTCAATTATGGGGTTATGGGGTCGGTTATGGGGTTATGGGGTCAGGTATGGGGTTATGGGGTTATGGGGTTGGTTATGGGGTTATGGGGTCACTTATGGGGTTATGGGGTCACTTATGGGCTCACTTATGGGGTTATGGGGTCAGGTATGGGGTTATGGGGTCTGGTATGGGGTTATGGGGTCGGTAATGGGGTTATGGGGTCGGTTATGGGGTTATGGGGTCGGTTATGGGGTTATGGGGTCAGGTATGGGGTTATGGGGTCGGTTATGGGGTTATGGGGTCAGGTATGGGGTTATGGGGTCGGTTATGGGGTTATGGGGTCAGGTATGGGGTTATGGGGTCAGTTATGGGGTTATGGGGTCAGGTATGGGGTTATGGGGTCGGTTATGGGGTTATGGGGTCACTTATGGGGTCATGGGGTCAGCTTTGGGGTCATGGGGATCGGTTATGGGGTTATGGGGTCGGTTATGGGGTTATGGGGTCAGGTATGGGGTTATGGGGTCACTTATGGGGTTATGGGGTCAGGTATGGGGTTATGGGGTCGGTTATGGGGTTATGGGGTCAGGTATGGGGTTATGGGGTCGGTTATGGGGTTATGGGGTCAGGTATGGGGTTATGGAGTCACTTATGGGGTCACTTATGGGGTTATGGGGTTATGGGGTCAGTTATGGGGTTATGGGGTCACTTATGGGGTCACTTATGGGGTTATGGGGTTATGGGGTCACTTATGGGGTTATGGGGTCACTTATGGGGTCACTTATGGGGTTATGGGGTTATGGGGTCAGGTATGGGGTTATGGGGTCACTTATGGGGTCACTTATGGGGTTATGGGGTTATGGGGTCACTTATGGGGTTATGGGGTCACTTATGGGGTCACTTATGGGGTTATGGGGTTATGGGGTCAGGTATGGGGTTATGGGGTCACTTATGGGGTCACTTATGGGGTTATGGGGTTATGGGGTCAGTTATGGGGTTATGGGGTCACTTATGGGGTCACTTATGGGGTTATGGGGTTATGGGGTCACTTATGGGGTTGTATGGGGTCACTTATGGGGTCACTTATGGGGTTATGGGGTTATGGGGTCAGGTATGGGGTTATGGGGTCGGTTATGGGGTTATGGGGTCGGTTATGGGGTTATGGGGTCACTTATGGGGTCACTTATGGGGTCACTTATGGGGTTATGGAGTCACTTATGGGGTCACTAATGGGATTATGGGGTCAGTTATGGGGTTATGGGGTCACTTATGGGGTCACTTATGGGGTCATGGGGTCACGTGTGGGGTCACGGGGTCACTTATGGGGTTGTTAAGGGGTCATGGGGTCACTTATGGGGTCACTTATGGGGTCATGGGGTCAATTATGGGGTTATGGGGTCACTTATGGGGTCATGGGGTCAATTATGGGGTTATGGGGTCGGTTATGGGGTTATGGGGTCAGGTATGGGGTTATGGGGTTATGGGGTTGGTTATGGGGTTATGGGGTCACTTATGGGGTTATGGGGTCACTTATGGGCTCACTTATGGGGTTATGGGGTCAGGTATGGGGTTATGGGGTCTGGTATGGGGTTATGGGGTCGGTAATGGGGTTATGGGGTCGGTTATGGGGTTATGGGGTCAGGTATGGGGTTATGGGGTCAGGTATGGGGTTATGGGGTCGGTTATGGGGTTATGGGGTCGGTTATGGGGTTATGGGGTCGGGTATGGGGTTATGGGGTCGGTTATGGGGTTATGGGGTCAGGTATGGGGTTATGGGGTCACTTATGGGGTCACTTATGGGGTTATGGGGTCAGGTATGGGGTTATGGGGTCACTTATGGGGTCACTTATGGGGTTATGGGGTCACTTATGGGGTTATGGGGTCAGGTATGGGGTTATGGGGTCGGTTATGGGGTTATGGGGTCAGGTATGGGGTTATGGGGTCAGGTATGGGGTTATGGGGTCAGGTATGGGGTTATGGGGTCGGTTATGGGGTCACTTATGGGGTTATGGGGTCAGGTATGGGGTTATGGGGTCGGTTATGGGGTTATGGGGTCGGTTATGGGGTTATGGGGTCACTTATGGGGTCACTTATGGAGTCATGGGGTCACTTAGGGGGTTATGGGGTCAGATATGGGGTTATGGGTTCGGTTATGGGGTTATGGGGTCACTTATGGGGTCATGGGGTCAGCTATGGGATTATGGGGTCACTCATGCGGTCACTTATGGGGTCATGGGGTCAATTATGGGGTTATGGGGTCATGGGGTCACTTATGGGGTCACTTATGGGGTCAATTATGGGGTTATGGGGTCAGGTATGGGGTTATGGGGTCACTTATGGGGTCACTTATGGGATCATGGGGTTATGGGGTCGGTTATGGGGATATGGGGTCGGTTATGGGGTTATGGGGTCAGGTATGGGGTTATGGGGTCGGTTATGGGGTTATGGGGTCAGGCATGGGGTTATGGGGTCAGGTGTGGGGTTATGGGGTCGCTTATGGGGTTATGGGGTCACTTATGGTGTTATGGGGTCAGGTATGGGGTTATGGGGTCGCTTATGGGGTTATGGGGTCGGTTATGGGGTTATGGGGTCAGGTATGGGGTTATGGGGTCAGTTATGGGGTTATGGGGTCAGGTATGGGGTTATGGGGTCAATTATGGGGTCACTTATGGGGTCATGGGGTCAGTTATGGGGTTATGGGGTCATGGGGTCACTTATGGGGTCAATTATGGGGTTAAGGGGTCATGGGGTCACTTATGGGGTCACTTATGGGGTCAATTATGGGGTTATGGGGTCAATTATGGGGTTATGGGGTCATGGGGTCACTTATGGGGTCATGGGGTCAGTTATGGGGTTATGGGGTCATGGGGTCACTTATGGGGTCAATTATGGGGTTATGGGGTCATGGGGTCACTTATGGGGTCACTTATGGGGTCAATTATGGGGTTATGGGGTCAATTATGGGGTTATGGGGTCATGGGGTCACTTATGGGGTCACTTATGGGGTCATGGGGTCAGGTATGGGGTTATGGGGTCAGGTATGGGGTTATGGGGCCACTTATGGGGTCACTTATGGGGTTATGGGGTCAGGTATGGGGTTATGGGGTCACTTATGGGGTCACTTATGGGGTCAATTATGGGGTTATGGGGTCAGCTATGGGGTCACGGGGTCACTTGTGGGGTTATGGGGTCACTTATGGGGTTATGGGGTTATGGGGTCAGGTATGGGGTTATGGGGTCAGGTATGGGGTTATGGGGTCGGTTATGGGGTTATGGGGTCAGGTATGGGGTTATGGGGTCGGTTATGGGGTTATGGGGTCAGGTATGGGGTTATGGGGTCAGGTATGGGGTTATGGGGTCACTTATGGGGTTATGGGATCACTTATGGGGTTATGGGGTCAGGTATGGGGTTATGGGGTCGGTTATGGGGTTATGTGGTCAGGTATGGGGTTATGGGGTCAGGTGTGGGGTTATGGGGTCAGTTATGGGGTTATGGGGTCAGGTATGGGGTTATGCGGTCAGTTATGGGGTTATGGGGTCAGGTATGGGGTTATGGGGTCAGTTATGGGGTTATGGGGTCAGGTATGGGGTTATGGGGTCGGTTATGGGGTTATGGGGTCAGGTATGGGGTTATGGGGTCAGTTATGGGGTTATGGGGTCAGGTGTGGGGTTATGGGGTCAGGTATGGGGTTATGGGGTCAGGTGTGGGGTTATGGGGTCAGTTATGGGGTTATGGGGTCAGGTGTGGGGTTATGGGGTCGGTTATGGGGTTATGGGGTCAGGTATGGGGTTATGGGGTCAGTTATGGGGTTATGGGGTCAGGTATGGGGTTATGGGGTCGCTTATGGGGTTATGGGGTCGGTTATGGGGTTATGGGGTCAGGTATGGGGTTATGGGGTCAGTTATGGGGTTATGGGGTCAGGTATGGGGTTATGGGGTCAGGTATGGGGTTATGGGGTCAGGTATGGGGTTATGGGGTCAATTATGGGGTCACTTATGGGGTCATGGGGTCAGTTATGGGGTTATGGGGTCACTTATGGGGTCACTTATGGGGTTATGGGGTCTGGTATGGGGTTATGGGGTCAGGTATGGGGTTATGGGGTCACTTAAGGGGTCAGGTATGGGGTTATGGGGTCGGTTATGGGGTTATGGGGTCACTTATGGGGTTATGGGGTCAGGTCTGGGGTTATGGGGTCAGTTATGGGGTTATGGGGTCACTTATGGGGTCAGGTATGGGGTTATGGGGTCGGTTATGGGGTTATGGGGTCAGGTATGGGGTTATGGGGTCAGGTATGGGGTTATGGGGTCGGTTATGGGGTTATGGGGTCACTTATGGGGTTATGGGGTCAGGTATGGGGTTATGGGGTTGGTTATGGGGTTATGGGGTCGCTTATGGGGTTATGGGGTCAGTTATGGGGTTATGGGGTCGGTTATGGGGTTATGGGGTCAGGTATGGGGTTATGGGGTCACTTATGGGGTTATGGGGTCGGTTATG